TCAACAAAATCAAAGAATTGGTGCTTGCAAATCGTCGGTTAACCATTTGAGACCTTGTTGACATGGTTGGAATATCATTTGGGTCAGTGCAAGCAATTTTGAAAGATCATTTGGGCCTCAGAAGACTCAAATCACGTTTGGTGCCGAAATTTCTCAATTTCTTTGAAAAAGAGCGTCGCGTTAAAACGTGTGAAGCAATGCTTTCTGACTATCATGACGTCTACAAACAAATTATTACTGGCGATGAGACTTGGGTCTACGCATACAACCCTGAAACAACCGACCAATCGAGTGAATACTGTGAAAAAGGCGAGCCGAGACCGAAGCAACCACGTCAAAGTCGCTCAAAAATCAAGGTCATGTTGACTGTTTTTTTTTGATTATTGTGGTGTCGTGCACTACGAATTCCTTCCAACTGGCCAAACTGTCAACATGGAATATTATTTAAGAGTTATGCGACGTTTGCGTGAAACTATTTGCAAAAAGAGACCGGAATTATGGGCCAATAACTCTTGGATTTTGCACCACGATAATGCGCCTTCGCACACAGCACTGGTTCTTCGTGAGTTTTTCGCCAAAAACTCTACCCATGTTGCTCCACAACCACCGTATTCGCCCGACTTAGCACCGTGTGACTTCTGGCTGTTCCCAAAGCTCAAGAGACCACTCCGGGGAAATCGTTTTGAGTCCATTGAAGAGATCCAACGTGAATCGGCACGCACATTGAAGGCTATCCCTACCGAGGACTTTTTGGCATGCTTCGAAGACTGGAAAAAACGTTGGCAAAAGTGCATTGGGGCCGGGGGGGATTATTTTGAGGGGGACGAAACAGATTTGGAAGAATAAATAAAGATTTTTCATTTTATAAAAAAATTCACCTTACTTTTTGATCACAGTAGTAAATAGTTGAAAATAAGGGGTAGATTTCTTCGGATTGGTTTCAGGGAGTTGGTCCGTGGAGTTTTGCATTGCAATAACTTTTTCTATAATTTTATCAGGATATTCATATTCTTGTAGTCATTTTTTTAGTTTTGCTATTCGTTGTTTTTATTATTTGTAATAAGATGTGAAAACAATTGTTCTTATAGCGTGATTGAAAGGGTTACTTTTTTATGTGATAAGGGTGATGACTTTTATAATTTAGGCAATCAGGAATATTGGTTTCTTTATAATAAATGTCTGCTCTAATTTATTGCTCTTAAAAATATTAATCACATTGTAAGTGCTACCATCTTTTATAATTTTTTTTCCCTAGTCTGCTGTAAAATTGATTGAATTATCTATTTCAGTAAAAGAATTTACAAACTTTACAATACCCAATTGTTTTGGCCAGACTTTGAAACCGTCGTCAATATATCCATGATAAAATTGTTTTATATAGTTAAAATTTTGATTGGAAAAGTAAGGTAAGATTTTAGGAAAACTTTTTGTTTCTTCTAAAAACTCAACTGAGAGACATACGTAGTCCAGAGCAAAATCAATACCCATTGATGTTCCTGTAATTTGCTGATACATTTCGCCATTAAACAGAAAGTTTTTGTTTTCTAAAATAAAAGATGGTGATTCTAATAAAACTTTTGAGTAAATCTTTCATCTATTATATTTTTATGTTTTGTAATCAAGATCTTTAAAGCTTCTAACCCTAATTTCAGTGAAATACTAGTAAAAAGATTAACAACATCACATGTCAAAATACAACTTTCTCTCTCTTTTTTCTCTCTCTTTTTCTCTCTTTCTTTCAACTTTCTCCCTCTTTTATCTCTTTTGGTATCTTTTCAATCAAATTCCAATTATCTTTTATAACATGTTTTATAATAATAGAAGATAAAATTATGTGTAAGAACTGACTTAGGTGTGATGCTGTCAGGTTATTACTTGCAATAATTGATCTATCTATGAGGTCATCAGGTAGTTTCATTTTTTTATATAAAGAGTTTGATTTGTAAATTTTATCAACAATTTCATGAAATTTAGGAATTTTTAGAGTAATGTAAAAATTACTAAACTTTTATTTGTAATTTGTGATGTAATTTATTTCATTTTAGTAAGTATTCTAAGGATAATTTTGTCTGATTCAAGATTTGCCTATTCATAAGTGTTTAAAAAGAGTAGATGGTCTTGATAAACTAGTTTGTTGTTATAATAAGATAATTCCATTTTAAATAAAATATTACTTTGGTCTGTCTTTTTGATAACTATATCTTTCATTTCCTTTAGTAGTTCTAAGGCTGTCCTTTCTTGTTGAGCAATGTTATCCACTGATTGTACTTTGTTTTGTTTAAATCGCTCAATTTTTAAAATGATTTTTTCTAAATATGGTTTATTTGTTCTAATATTATAATTTGACTTTTTAAAAATTATGCTCATTCAGTATTACGTGTTCTGTGAAATCTTTCTTTAGTATTAGTTTTCTAGTAAACTGTTCTACATCAGAGTCAATGTGTAAAAAATTTCCTTTGGTCGTAGGGCAAAACTTACAACTCTTTATAAGAAGGGATATTTGAAATGTTGTTAGGTGTTTGGGAAAAGATTGATGACATCAGGTTGTATTTTATTTGAGTTAGGTTAATCTAGTTTGTTGAAGCTATTGCTTTTGATCCTTGTTTATGATCAGCACCGATATTGTTAATCCGACAGAAGTAGATCAATTGTTAATACTATCTTGTTTTATCGAATTTTTTCAATTTAGATTATTTCTATTTTTTTCAAACGCAATTTTAGAGGATGCGAGTTTTTTTGTCCATTGTTTGGAAATATAATCAATATGTTCTTTTTTACATTCCTTGAATCGAAACATTAGTTTATCTTTAGGCTCTTAGTTCGGTCTATGGTAAGATCTTCTAGGTTTTGTAATAAAAAAAGAAAATTATCTTTTCCTATTTTAAGAATTTCACATTCTGATTTAAGGTGCTATAGATCAAATATTTTTATTACATTTTTTTTCTTCTTGTGACATAGAATAAAAGCTGTCACTTCTAAGTTTTTCAGGAAAAAACAAAGATTCTTGTTGTTTTTTTTATAGCAATTTGAATTGTCAACCTTTTATATCTAAAACTAATCTTTTACAAAATCTATCTTTAAATAAAAAAGTAAAAGAAGTTTTTTCAAATAACCGACTAGTAATTGCATTTAAAAAACCACCAAATCTGTTAAGTATACTGGCTTTTGCAATATTCCATTAAATCGAAAAAGAAATTATAAAGATGATTACTTGTATGTAAAGATAATTGTTGTATACATGCAAATTTTAACTACAAAATATTTTAACATTTAGAACATTAAATGGTTCTATATGAAACGTAAAGAGTCATATAACTTGCAATAGTAAAGTGGGATATACTATTTAAAATGTCTATCTTGCAATATGAAAACTACATTCACCGGAAAAACTTATAATTTAAGACTTCGTACAAATGGACAT